AGCACTGAGCATACAGTGCGTATTAATATACGTTGGGTAAGGGCAAAACCTGTTATATAAAAAAAGGCTTACATTATGCGTTTAAGGAGAATAAAACATATTTTGTAAACGAATTACATATTTAATGATATTTCTGTGCAACATACACCCATTCCTATTGCCATCACAGGCCAAATAAGTGGGTGTTACAGCTATTTCTGCACGGAAATTGCCTGTATTTAGGATATTTTGCCATATTTTTGGAGGGTTCATTATCCCTGGCCAATGGGCACAGTTTATTGTAAATATTTTCAATGAGCAAAGGTTGGGTTCACAAATTTTGCAGACCCCCCATTCCGAATAAAACGGATGTCTTCCTCTAATGGCAAAAAATAGCACCAACGTGCTCATCTGAAATACATAGAAATGTTTAGATGTTTAAAAAGGTACATTTTTCAGTGAGTAGCCGAAAAAGACGTCAGGCAGTTTTCTAACATATCAGAGTGTAGAAAGTTGCACAAAGTGTTTTTGAGTGTGTGATATCTTTTATTCGTATGTAATTCCTTGCAGTGGCCCAAACGATCATGTCTTCGTTTATTTCTCCGACCATGGAGCGACAAACCTCATTGCTTTCAGGGATGAAGTGGTAAGTTTCTGAAATACAAGTAAAATAAATCAGACTGGCTGGTATGTATAAGCGAAACAGTGAATTGCATTTAAGCGTCCATGATCCAAGGAAAGGTTTTCTTTATGTTTGTAAATCGAATTCCTTGGGGTCCCTTTATGAATGATGCATCTTTCATTCAGGTAAAATAATGTGCGTATAGTTGCGCTCCGTCTCTACTTAAACTCTACAGAAGACAACGGAGAACCTTCGATTTTTTGCCAAAGCCTTGACTTCCTGTCTAGGAAATTAGGTCGTCAAGTATTCCACACCACACAGGACCCTATAACTGTATTTTCAATGCACATGTTAAGATCACTAAGGGCCCTTCGATTTCTTTTTATTCGATTTTTGTTTCTTGCAGCTTTACGCAAAAGACCTAATCAGAACACTCAAGAGGATGCATAAGGAGAATAAATATCAGAAGGTATGGCTCCATGCAGCTGTGACTTAGCACTACAAAATTTGCAGCGTTATACTGACAAACGACCATAAAAATTACTTGACAAATGCGATGCTGTGTTGTACGTGTGTGATGTACACGTACATGTGGAGTTTTCCATGCTGTATCCATCCGCCTGTTTCTGTATTATTGTTAAAATTGCATACCGGTAGCAATGTTGTTGCGGCCCGCCGCACTTCAATGCATGTCCCCGAGCAGACAACATGTGCAGCGTCCTTCTCTTCGTTTTCAGGTAAATGATCCTTATATCCCAATAATTCATCAGTTCTAGACAATCTGGACACTAATTCACTTCATTAGTTGACATGTAAAATCTTTCCCCCTAAATCATGCATTCCTTGGATGGAAAGGATTCGTTTTATGGACTTTCAGTGACTTGGATTGTTATGAATTTAAACTTGTAATCTACTTTCAATCAATCTTCGACACAGTCCTAGATAGAATGTGTGACATAGTTATTTTGTCATAAAACAACAAGATGTAACTTGACACACATCAAGTTCTCGTTGCCCATGTTCTACTCAGTCCTCCGGTGTCACACATTTAACTGGACATCGTGCACGCTCTTAAAGGCCTTTTTCCTATGATGTCACGATTTTGCTGGACCTATGATTTGTTGTGACGATGGTAATGAGTGCATAGCGTTGTGATACTAATCTACCTATTCAAGATAAAGTTATCAAACAAGGAGCGTTCGCACGTGCCCTTTGTACGGAGGAATAGGCCTAGGCCTATGCAATACCCGTGGCCAAGGCGATCCACACGTGGTGGTATTGTTTACAATTAGCGCAATCCAGTCACGAGGATGAAAAAGGTCTATATTCCTCTTTTTCGAATTATCCAATACAAAATTTGAAAAAAGAGGAGTTGGCCTGCTAACGCTCCACTCAAAAGAGCCAACGTCGCATTATATACAATCATGGATTCCTCCATGATGTGTACCGTGCAATCCTAGAACGTAAAAAACTTAGGGCTGTAGTTTCAGAACAAATTTTCAGGTTAGGGGATGGTTCGCTTTCTTGAGACATATCTGAAGGCGACCCAGGCTTCTACCGACAATTTCGGGGAGATTTTGCTCTGCTTGTTATACCTGCACAATGATGTTGAAATGGACACTGACCTTGGCTACGAGCTAGTTCTGTATTTCAACAGCGCATAACAAAAGTGAAGCGGGTCCCAGGTCATTCGAGAACAGCCAGCACATGCACACGATTATCTGGCCTATCCGCGCAGCCCGTAGAAAAATAAAAGGCTGTGCAGCCATACGCCGAATCACGTGCGCGCTTTGTTCCCGAAAGACCTTGCTTTTTTGAAAAATTGAACTGGCTCATTGTAGACGTATATGCATAATACAATAATAATTTAACAGACACGTGTAATCTAATAATGTAAAGATTAATATCCCCAAAAGCTTTTTGTGGGGAATTTTAGACTTTTTATTCTTCACTGGGGGTAGGGGTATTGTCGGTCGGTTTGTTTTGTTTTCATTGTTTATTATTTGCCGGTTTTAGATGTGCTAGCAAAGTCATAAAAAGAAAAAAGTAATACAACAATTAACGCAAAGTTCCCTGGGTTCAATTGATGTTTTTTTGTCCTTGCAGTTGGTGTTCTACCTGGAAGCTTGCGAGTCGGGCTCCATGTTTCTGAAACTCCCTAAGAACATCGACATTTATGCCACCACAGCAGCGGGACCGGACACCCCCTCCTATGCATGCTACTTCGACAAGAAGCTGGGAACCTACCTTGGCGATGTGTACAGCGTTAAGTGGATGGAGGACTCAGACAGGGTATAGTTTTGAAGCGCTTCCTTATCAACGGTGCCGAATCCTCGTCTAGATGTGTGTGTGTGGGGGGGGGGGCAAATAGACTGGCAATTTCGTGTTTTCGTCATAAATTATTTTCAGAGTTTTCATTACAATGAGCTCAAAATGCTCCACAGTGAGGATATCCTGAAAGTCAGGGATATCCAACGGATGCTGAAGTCTACAATTCAATCCCACACACCTTTTAACTTCACTTTTTAAAAACTTTGTACAATGCAAATAAAGGTCAACAACTTGTCCGTTAAGAATGTCAAACAGCAGAAGCGAACAATCTTATAACAATGCTCAGGAAACGGACAACCAGCCGAAAAAAATAAGGGGCTGATGCAGTCCTTGGTTCATCTGGAAATTTTTGTAGAATTATCAGCAAAGAACAGTGTCTCAGGATTTATACATCATATGGTATCAAAAACTCCAGCTTTTATTCTGTTAAGATGATTGTTTTGGTCGGCAATCTTTATGGTTAGTCTTTAACCCCAGACCTTNGGGGGAATATGCCATCCCTGCAGCAGTGCACTCCCCCATAGTTATACCCCCGCTTGTTTGTGAAGTCGAACTTTTGTTCGGTATTTTATTGCAAACCTGCTGCAAGTGAATGCAGGAGGCTTTAGCTACCGAGTAAGCTAGTTGTGGAAAAACGTCCTGGACTAAATAATGAGTTTCCATTTATTCAGAGATTTTTCAAAGGTGTTAAACTGTACTGCAACGCAATTAAAAGTTTTTAAACAGATATTTTACCCATGTATATGCTAAGACTGATTTCAGGCGTTTCCTCTGTCAAACGCAGTTGAATGCCATCGACAGCCGCGACGTACCCCTGGACATTTTGGTTCGACGCTTTGAGGCAACGACCAATCCAGTGCAGAAAAGAATGCTGATGAAGGAGGTTGCTGCCCTGGCAGACGTAAGGCGTTGTATGGCGAAAAAAACCCGATGAATTGACAAGAATTAAATATAAAAGCTCTGATCCCAATGATGATAATAAAAAATACATGTTGGCCCCTATAATCTTATGTTTAGAAATGAAACTTCTGCCAAAGAATTTGGGGTGTATTACTTTGGTTTTCATGCATAATTGGTACGATAGCCCTTTGGTATTTTTTTATCTAGAAACAAAACTTTGTGCACGATCTGATGTACAACCTCGTCATAAAAATGACAAAGGGAGACATGATGATGACTGCAACGGTAATGAACACAAGAGGGCGCGCTGTTGAGAATTGGGATTGCTTCACAGCTGCGGTGCAGACATTCAGCGACGTGTGCTTCAAAATGACGGAGGTTTGGCACTCACATTTCGATATCTTTTTTGATGTTGATTGGGTATTTTCAGGAATTTTTGCTTCATTTTCACGGCACTGGGCATTTATCTATTTAACCCTTAGCGTGACGATTAGCCATTTTCATTCTGTTCACCGTTCAAATCATATGATGACGGATTCCTGTCCTGAGCGAAGCCTGTTCTTCTTTGAAAATTTAATGTACGTGTAGACAGTTAGGCCTAGCTCCTGCTCTTTCCAGTGAATTCCAATCATGACCCATTTTCAAGATAGATCATTCAGATTTTTCCATAGTTTTTAATGCATTACATTCTTTCTTTTGGTTCTAAGAATTTAAAACAAAATGAAGAAGGCGTCATACCTGTACAGGAATAACTGATTTCTCTATATTTAGCCCAGCAATTAAGATGGAGATTAGGAGTCAAAACAAAAGCAAAAGCCGGCATTGCCTTTCCATTTCACAGATATTAAAGAAATGTGGTAGAGCCATACAGATTATAAAGCCATTGCAGTTTTCTTATGTGAAGGCTTCAGTGAAAAATTTAATTATTTTCCATTGCAGCTTCCCTACGCCTGGGGACAAATGCACGTCCTTGCTAACCTCTGTGACCTGACCAACAGCCAAACATCCGAGTAAGTACCTTGACATCTTATTGTGTAATCATATATGAATGTACACACTATGCTTTACATACTTGGGGTTTGGGTCTCTTATATCACTTAAAGATTGTGACACTTTTTTTGCAAGCGACACCAGTTATCGAAATTTGATTAAAAGTAACCCTGCTTCTCTCAAAACCTTCCACCTCTATAAGACAAGGTCAGATTTTCCACTAGAATTCCAAGAAAATCTTCTTTTTTTACTTTTACAAAGCCACAAAAAGATGTAACTTTAACCCTATAAATTTCAACTCTTCCTTCAAAAGAAGTTTGGAAAAAAAAGATGTGCATTTCAACTTGAGTCCCATTGCCTCATATGGGGACCGTGGCTCCTCGCGTACCTCGTACCATTTCCTTGCTGTCTAACGGCGTTTGATGCCACAGAGTATATCATGTGGATCCACTAGTTTGAATTTCATAATCAGTTATCATGTCATTAACCCTAACAGTCCGATTTCAATATGATTTTACATAAACCCTTGGGGGTTTAATTAGACACAAACAAAGCCGTTGTTTTAAAACCCAAACAGAACTACAATACACAGAGGCAATTGGTATTTTTCGTGTGTTATGTAACTTTGCAAGTACTTTCAAAAACAAAGCTTGGTAAGGTAATTGACAAAGACGGGGACACTTTACATGAAATATAGTGTGAGGCCCAAAGCAGTTTCCAACCATTGAAATCGAGTGGATAGGCCCATCATTCTATTCAAAATGGTGGACAATAATGCAAACTTGGCTATATTGGAAAGTTACAAAAAAAGACTGTTTTCTTTCATGTCTTGAATTCACAGTATCACCTCTGCCCTGAAGGTTGGCTGTTTGTAGGCGAAAAGATGGAGGCAGCATTATCTCATGATTAAAACCTATACAAAGTGAGGAGTCAGATCGAATCAAAGCTTTTGGATTATGGACCCCTTTTTCGGTCCACTTTTTAAAACTTTGATTAGAAGTTGAATAGAATATAAAAAATTTTTCTATTTTAAAAATGAGGTACCTTGACTTTTGTGATTTATGTGTAAATATTCTAGCTTTTTTAAGGTAAAAAAAAAGAAGTCGTTGCTCCTGCAAAATAGACTGCTAATCAATCTTAATTGTTATCTGCCATTCCTAAGATAATTTGTGCATCGAATGGCTGAAATATATTCTTTCATGCATCAGGTTCCAATTACCGAGCGCCACTGATTTACGCATGCTTAATTCAGAATCTGAATTTTCTAATATTAAACTAAAATCATTCCCAAATATTAAGTCACCATGTGCTGTGCAGATATTAAAATGGTGACTAATGCACTTTCTCTGTTTAACTGTTCGACTAAAACAAAATGTTGGGCAAGTTCTCCCCCTCCCCCCATGAAAAAAAACAATTAGGGAAAATATCGAACGGGAAAAAAGGAAAGAGAGCAATGCAAACGGGACATTGGATGACAAAAACTCTCGCAGTTTCCATGAAAATGCCTTGGATCTTGACTCTCTGTAGTGGAAGTTTGTTAGTCTGCTCCGACTGAGTGCTTGCCCCGCCCCCTTAGAATGATTTACATAATATTCCCAAGTAATTCCTGGCGACGCCTGGGATGCTGTTGCAGGTATTGTACTACTGCAAAAACTGTCTTTAGCCAACAATGTTGAACGTGTTTAGAATTTTGATATAAAGTGTCTCGTTCTTTGACATTGCATGATGTATAAGAACCAGATACCAAATGTTTAGCATTTAAACCTGTTTTCAAAGTGACGCAAGATTGTGTTAAATGCTAAATTCAGTTTTGTAGATTGCTTCCTTATTGATTTGGTTGCCTCTGATATTACATGTAGTATTTTCAATATAATTCAGGATTCGAATTTTCAACAAAAATTATATAAAAAGCTTTCAAGAAAACTGATACGAGTCAGACTTTCTTAAGTTACTATATAGGCCTATTCACACTTTTGTAAAAGTTGATGAATGTTTCCATGCAGTAATTTGTCTTTTAAGAAGGAATCTACGTCCGTGTGATATTCGCCATTTGCGAGTTAAATTTGAATAAAATCTGGTGCACCGAGTAATCTGACTGCACATAAACATAACGATTTGAATTCCCCAGGCTAAAGACACTGTTGCTATACCTCGTGATGATTCGGGGCAAGCTTTCTCGTAGCGACCACCATGCTCTGGAATGGACTGGTTCCTTTGTGTCATTATCCATTGAGAACAGTGTACATGTAATGTTTTAAGGCGTCTCTTATGTAACTGAGTAAAAGCTTGCCCCGAATCACGAGGTATAGCAACAGTGGTTTTCGTAAGGAGACTTCAAGTTGTTATGTTCACGTGAATTTAAAGAACTCAATGTACCAGATTTGGGTCAAAGTTGGATCGCAGAAGGCTTTGCGATGACGGACGATCCTCGTGAGATGGAAGGACCGTGACATACCGGTATTATAATTATGGCGTCGGCCGGCCGGTAGAGGGCACCAGCACGGAACCACTACGGAGCTGTGCGGTGGGGGCCCCTGCTTGTTGATCCTGGAGACCCGTTGCCCGCTGCGCCGGTACTGTAGGTTTGTTTACTTCGTTTTGGGGCGGTGTCGCCGTGGACTAAAGACAGGTCGAGCTTCGAAAGGAAAGGACAGGTGGTGTACGAGAAATAAACGGCGGAAAACGCCCCAAGAAACTGGAAAAACATTGGTAGTAGCGGCGGCACGCCTGACGAGGAATAAAAAGGTTACATTTTCAGGAAAAAAAATTGCTGTTGATCCAGTTGTGAATGTAGACCGATTCACTGACGCCCTTACTGCGGTGTCCCTGTTACTCAGACGCGCGTACCTAAACTTAACGAGGGCGTGATTTTGGTTAGAAGTGCACTCCCATTGGCTGATAGGAAGCATTCAATGTGCATCTCTTTTGTTTACGTGCGTGGGGACACCGTAGTAATGGCTCCTGCTTCTTGTCACCGAATCGGCCTATAACTACGTTGATTCGGCATCTGCCTCGCCACATTGCGGGAATGCGGGTTGTTTTGGAGCCTTGCAGTCTGTAGGACAGCCAAGGGCCCGTTCCTAGAAAGCCCAATTTGACAATTGATGAGCTTGAATCCTTTTCAAAGACGGCTTAGAAACCGTTAGCACTGAGGGAGTCGTCTACGATGGTAGGACGGTAGGAGTTGAGCGGTTGAAAAAGGTAACTTACATTCCATGCTTTATCCCCGTCGACACTTCATGTGCCGGTACCCCTGGGAACTGCCCTGTGCTGTGGTCGGCGGTGCGACGGACAGTCTGCCGCATTCAGAGCGCTGTCGGATTATACCTGTCCGTGCAGCGGGGGCGGGAATTGGGGCAAGAACACCACACAAAGTTTCCCTTAGTGCACTTCGTTTCAGAATTCCATTGGGGAACTGCCCTATGCTGTGGACAATGTCGCGGCAAACACAATGTTCCATTCGGACCGCAGTTAATTGAGCTGTACCTGTCAAGGAAGCAGGAGCGGGGCTTCAACCGGGGACATTACACCGAAGAAGTGCCCGCGAGACTCCCCGGAGGATCACCCCATGTTGCAGCAAGCACCGCAACAGTAGCTCCGTTTCACCCAGAACGTTGCCAAGATTCGCCTGTCAAGGAGGCCGGGGAGGGGCTGTAATTTCAGACACAAACGGGTGCTCGCCAGTTTACCCGGATAAAGCAAAAGGAGCCGTTGGCGCTGCTCCTCTCACGAGTAAACGGTGGGGAGCCGCCAAAGCTACTCCGCACTAACGGCTCCTCTTACAAGTCAACGTTGTGGGGTTGTCAGCGCTAGTTGCCTCGCCCATATGTCAAGGGCGCACAACTGCCATGTTTTGAAGTCATTTGGGCCGTGCCACCTCTGTTGGCCCGCACTTGTGCCGAGGGAGGGGGCGGAGCGGGCAATCGTGCAACAACACCTCAGAAGCTGGCCTTCCGGAGACAAAAGGTCGAAGACCAGTGATGCTTTCAGATAAATTTGACGGGAGCACTTCATAGTCCGACTACCTATTCCACTTCGAGAGTGTCGCAACGATCGACCATTGGAGCGAGGAGGAGAGAGCGATGTTCCTGGCATCTCATCTAAAGGGCACGGCCCAAGAAGCCCTAGCGGATATGACCCCGGGGGCACGGAAGGGCTATTCTTCTATTCTTGAAGACTTCGAGCCGTGGTTCGGGATGGCATCACAGGTTGCCCGACATCGGGCTCAACTGTCGATGCGTACGAGGGGCCGCGACGAGCCCTTAAGTAGTCTGGGACAATCCATTCGTCGTCTAGTTGTTAAGAGCTACCCGACCTACCAGCGCGGGCTCGAGAAGATTTGGCGATGGAGGCTTTCCGTAATGCCTGGGTGGATGAACAGTTGCAGCTTCACATTTTTTAAAGGAGAGCTACCATGCTGACCGAGGCTATGATGGATGCATAACCGGAAGGGAAAACCATTGACCAGGGACATCAGAACAGTTGCCCAGCCCGCTCTAGTTCCAGCCGAGAGACAAGGGCCGCCCGCTGGGGATGGAGTTGTATTAGGTCCCCGGCCTAGGGTGGGATGCTTTGGCTGTCATGAGCTGGTGCACATCAAGCGAAATTGTACCCATCAGAGGTAGAGGCCGACCTCTTACCGTCAAGGAGAATCGAAAGGGGTGCCGACAAGACGTCGCACTCCAGCTGGGGAGCCTACCGCTCTTCCAAAACCAGCCCCGTTGGGAACAACTATAGGGAAACTACGTGACGGGTAAAGTAGCCGGGGCGTTTCCTCTTAAATACCGGAGCAGCAGTGAGTTTGATTTGGGAGCAGATCTTCAATGCCTTGTCCCAGGCGGAGAAACCAAGTCTAATCTCTTTAGCACCGACTTTGAGAATGACAGATGGCAGCTCCATGCCAGCTAAAGGTTTGGCTAACTTCGAAGCTGCAAGTCGGGGCGCAGCTCATGAATCATGCCTGAACAATAGCCAACATCGACCCGGAGGTGATTCTGGGTATTGATTTCCTGTCCAAATACCACTGCAAATGGCGGTGGGGCGACAACGTATCGGAGCAGTGTTGTCACAGGAGGGGGGCGGTGGGGACAGGGCGATTGCCTGCGGCAGCCGTACCTTCTCAAAGGCCGAAAGCAACTACTGTACCACTCGGAAGGAGTTGCTGGCCGTGGTTCACTTTGTGCATTGCTTCAAACATTTTTCGTGGGAAACCGTTCCTACCCAAGACAGATCATGGGTCCCTACGGTAGCTATTCAACTTTCGCAAGCCTTAGGGACAAACTGTCCGGTGGATCCAGAGATTGAGATGTTACGATTTTGATGTTGAAAAACGGGCGAGGAGGAAGCACACAAATGCCGACGCCGTCTCCAGGATCCCATGTGGCCAGTGTGGGCGATCAAAGAACTTGGACCAGGAATGCTATATTGGAGGAGTTTCTGCTGACCGGCAGGACCAAGGGAAGCAGGGAAGAGCCGTTGTTGGATATGGTCACGGTTGGTAGCCCATGTAAGACCAGCAGGCTGGACGAACTCCTATAGGAGTTGAAGAGGGAACAGCACGATGACCCCAAGCTGGGAAAAATTGTGCAATGGCTCAAGGATAGGGGCTCAAGACTCAGCTGGCGATATGTCTCTGCGGTGAACGAGGACGCTAAGTTCTGGTGGGCTAAGTGGGAGACACTGAGACTGTTTTAAGGTGTCTTGCAGGTGAGATGGGAACAGCCCAGCGATCAACCACCGGCCTGGAAGATTGTGATTTCACTAGTCAGAGTCGAGGACGCCTTGCACTTGGTCCATGAAAATAAGACTTCAGGTTACTTGGGGATATCCCAAGCGGTTGCAAGGCTTAAGCAGGCCCCAGTGCTATGGGGGGTGAGACGCCAGGCGGAGGAATGGTGCAGGAAGTGCCACAAGTGTGGGTCAAAGAACCCACCCCACGGCCTTAGAAAGCTCCCCTTCAACAATATCTGGGGGGCCCAATTGAGCGCTTAGCAGTCGACCTCACAGGTAGGTTTCCACGAACAAAGGCAGGGAAAACAAGCATTATGGTCATGTCTGATTCCTTCACCGAGTGGGTCGAGGCCTTTCCGATTCCCGACCAGACTTCAGGGTGTGTTTCGAGCAGGTCATCACACGCTTCGGTACCCCCCTCGAAATCCACACGGATCAGGGGAAGGAGTTCGAGGCAAACCTATTCCAAGGCGTTTGTGTACTGCTTGGCATCCACAAGACCCCCACAACACCTTTCCTCCCTCAGTCAGATGGGATGGTGGAACGGTTCATCAGCACAGTGCAGACGATGGCGATCCCCAGTGTTATCTCCGAAACCGGCTACAACCCGACTGCCTCATTAGAGTGGCATGCAGCCAGCGTAACAGGGCTCGGTCCAGCCACTTCCCGAGTCCTGGGACCCAAACGGAGCCCCCAGTGCCTTGGATGACTCTGGCCTTGCCATGGGATGAGGGATCTCCTCCTGCCAGTTGGCTCTCAGCTTAGCCTGCCAGATGGCACCCGAGTCCAGCAGGGCACCGTCGCCTTGGTGCGACTGCCCATATTCGACGAGGGACGCCAGCACCGACATGGGAACGCCACTATGTGAGCACCCGAGGGATGAGTGGCGTCTGGAGACCACACACACTGGGGTCTACGCCAACGGACACCAGCTGTGGCGGACGCGAGTTGCCCATGCCTACGAAGTACCTGGCCGACTTCTGACGACCTACTAGGGCCAACAGTACGGCAAGTACGTCGTTGATCCATCTGCATCTGCCCAGCCGTCCATGGGAGACTGATGCATCCTGGAGCGCCCCCACCCCCACGCTATCTGGAGAACGTACCTTGGCGATTCAAGGAGGAACTGTTCAGACGTACAGAAGTGCAGGGGCAACCACCACCTCACAACTAAATCTAAACCTCTATCTCCTTTTTTGTGTCTTGTTAGTTAGAAGTGGATGTTGGAATATCATTGATATTTTCTCTTTCCTTTTTGTATAAAGGTTGTCGGCGTCGCAGGACCTCGGAGTTTTCTCAGGCGTCAGTCGCTGACGCTCGCTGCCTTGTTTGGGGACGAACAAAGGGGGGGGGGTGTAGCGGTGTGGCGTCGGCGCCGGCTGGCCAGTAGAGGGCACCAGCACGGAACCACTGCAGAGCCGTGCAGTGGGGCCCCTGCTGGATGGCTTCAGAGACCCGTTCCCCGCGGCGCCGGCGCTGTAGGTTTGTTTACTTCATTTCAGGGAGGTGTTGCCACAGCGAAAGACAGGTCGAGTTTGGAAAGGGTGGTGCACGAGAAATAAACGGCGAAAAACACCTGAGAAACTGGAAAAACGTATGTGGCATCAATTTTGTCAGGCGTGTGAAAAACCTGAGACGGTCAACGTTACAATATTTCCCTATACAGAGTCAGTCTCCAGCCACTTCAGCGTATCCAGCGGGGCCGCTTTGGAGGGTTTCAGGGGACAGGTTGGCCCGTGGAGAGATGTTTCCTCCATGGACAAAGTCATCTGGCAAGGAACTATCTTTCCTCCTGCCGAGAATGTTGTTTATTTCTCGCCAAAGTCCTTTAAGGTTGTTCTTTTCTCAATGAAGCTGACGAGCGTAGTAATTTTTCTTTGCAGAGTGAATAGTAGCTGTTAATCGGTTGCAAAAATCCTTATAACTACGCTTGCTTGCTTTAGTGGGATTGTGCATGAATCTCCTATGCAGCCTGTCCAATAAGAAGATGCAGGAATCAACGATGGACTGATTAATCCTGAATTTCCTAACTGTTTTAGATATGAGAGGAAACTGGTGGTTATAGAGGGAAGAAAACCTTGAGAGAAATAGGTTGTAAGCAGTTTATCAGTGTCCTGTTAATCAAAACTCCACTCTAATCAGTATTAGCAAGATCTGCGCTAAAGGAGAAGAGAAATTATCATTGTCCCGGGGAAAAAGTGTCTTTCGAAAACGCACTAAATTTTGAAAGAAGACGGAGTGTATTGGAAAAGTGGATAGTGGTCAGTAATATCAGAATATTATTATTATATATTATTAATATTATTATACATAAATGAATGTATTTATGTATCACATATTACATACCAACAGCTTCTCCACATCTTAAAAAATCGGTTCATTTTCGGTGTGAATCTAGGAAGCTACAATAATTGCTTTCCATGGTACAAAACACTACAACATACCACGCGAGTTAACTCGCGGCCGCGAGTTAAGTAAGTCGCAGCCGCGAGTTACTGGTAACAACGAAAGAGAAACGCACCTCCGTGAAAGAGAAACTCCACACCGTGGCCCTAACAGGCTTCGGTAAAATCCAGTCTTGGTCATAATTTGCATAAATTCGGTCCAGGTTTGATGGAGGTTTGATACTGAAATAGTTATTACCGGTAGTTTCTTACAATTCGTTTTAATTGTTCGATTATCAAGAGTAAATGTATGCCAGGGAAATATTTATAGAAGTGACGTTATTCAATAAACATGTTTTCTTACAACATCTGCCATAACGAAGTGCATTGAAAAGAGTTGGGCAGTATATTTTTTCCAAGAAAAATTCAAGCACAGTTTTGTATATTTTAGTTTTAAATGATTTTCAAGTTTGTTTTGAAAAGAGGGAATAAACATAAATACTTCTGTTATTTAATAAACAGAGAGTATATAGAAAATAGTCAATGTCAAAAGATTGCATGCCAATACCCTTCACCGACCTTCGTCCCTGAACTTCCCCCAGAAACATGACAGCAAAAATGATGTTAGTTTTTTCAGTATTTTACCTGGAGGACTAGTTTAGGCTTCAATCGCGACCTTCACTTTTGTGCTCAAACATATGGGAGGGGAGGTAGGGCCCATCCTGTTTCAGTGACTGCCCGGATGACCCCATCCATGATTGACATCCCCTCTAAAAGTAGCATCAGGGATAGTTGGGAGAAGTCACGGGATCTGGATTAGGTTATGTGTTGCATTATTTCAGTTGAACAAACGCACCACGTGATTCTGGCCATGGTGTTGACAAACCCCCACTTCAAAGAATTAACAACATGATATCTTATAATATTGAATGAAAATCATATTCCATGGTTGGACCCAAAGATGTTTGGGGAGGAAACAAAAGTATCTTTTCATCAAAGATAGGTATCACAACAGCAGTTAGATGTACGCTGAATTACAGGGAAAATCTTTGTAATTCGTTTCAAGCAACAAACATAAACTGCGTGTTCGATGGGCGTTCTGTTTGCACTTGCTCTTCAAAATGTTGTCAAGCCACTCGTTAGGGCCAAGGTCTAGTTTCTGTGCCGAAAATAAAGGCACTCGTGTCACGGGATAGGACAAAGTACGGCGCTCATCACATGACACAGTGAGGAGTATATCTTGAGGGGCAGTCAGAAGCCGGATCACCCCATCCCAAGTTTTACTGGACTCGATCACGTTTGACGCTGACAAGATGAAGTTGTTCCTGGCTCTTCTCTTGGCGCCCTTGGTGGCCACCTTCCCATCCGAGAACTTCTTCCCTCTTCCGCAGGCGGAGCCCTCGCCTGGCAAACACTGGGGATTACTGGTGGCGGGTTCCAACACGTGGGACAACTATCGCCATCAGGTAAAACATCAAAGCCAATGTCCATCGTTGGTTATGTATTTTTGTACAAAAGGACACGATCTATAACGACACAAACTGCTTTTCACACTGTCCGTTCATGGTTTCATGCATTGATACAATACTGTAGCCTATGTATCTTCATTTACTCCCATGTTCTATTTTCATTTTACCATCTTAAGCAAACATTTGATGTCCTTCAAGAAAATCTGCTTTTCTCTGGTGATTCGTTGAAGTTCAAAACACGACCGAAGGCCGCTGAACGAGGTTTTCTCACTTTTTTTCAGTGAGCATATATTTTAAGTTTCGTATATTAAACAAGAAATCCCCACATGAAGAGTACCTCCCATCAATGATTAACCTATCAGGAAAAGCGTGGACAATAATAAATTTGAAGGTGAACTTTTCAACGAGGCTTACCGAGAAGGTATGTTAAACAATATTCACGTATTTGAGAGTACAGATAGTTCCTTACATTTAATACGTTTCATGGTAAAATTTTTTCATGCCCCTTCTAAGTTTGACTTTCCCGATTTGTGAATGAAATTGTTCAGGTCACTTGTTACATTCAGCGCATGGTCATGACGCTTACCACATATCATGTCAAAGCTTCAATGTATTCCATTTTCGAAGGAGCATTAGCCAACGGGCAAAACGACTCAGTTTGTGGCTGTGCACCCCTCACATTCTGAAAATTCCAGCTTAAATTATTACGGGTGTTTCACAACAGTGCGCCTCCAAAAGTTTGCAATGCGTTGGCCAATCACAATGCCCAAAGTATGTCGACCAAATGCAATGCACGTTTGAAAAGGGTCGGCAGATTTCGCGCGTTGTGATTGACCAACACGTTGTTAACTCTTAGAGCCGCAATATCCGCTCCCAGCGGAACAAAAGAGGGCGTGGGTTTTTGGTACCCATCACATAGGTGGGTCATGAGGCACGCAAGCATTTGCGCGGTTGTCACTGAGTTTCAGAATTGTATGCATAATTATTTTGTTGTGATTTCACTTCCTTCATTGGTTTTTTGTAGGCTGACATTTGCCACGCTTACCAGATCCTGCACAAGAATGGCATACCAGACGAGAACATTGTGGTCATGATGTATGATGACATCGCGTACAATGAGCAGTAAGTTCGGTCTAAAAAAAAAACTGATGATGGTCGTGGTCTGAAGAGGGAATGGAGACATGCCCCTTCAAAATTACGCTGATATACCAAACAACTGACCTGTCACGGTAAAAAAAACTGGCAATCTAGTTTGACTTTATGACTGGTATACCCCGAAAGGTCTTCTTGTATCACAGATGCGTGAGAGTCTGGCTAAAAATAAAAAAGGGACCATTAATTAAATCCAAACTTATTTCACGATCTTCCAATGTTTCTGTTCAATTTGTGTCGGTAATTGAGGGAAAAACTTCCTCCAAGTATGATCACCCCAAAAGGCAGTCCTGAAGTCTTTCAACCTCCGCTTAAGTCCCACTTGCCGAGTTTAGCCATTTACCTATTTGGGGGATAAGTCGCCTGAAGTCTAAAGTTTTGTGACCGATACATTCTATCTTTCGTGGGAATAGGGTCTATTTGCCGACAGCTGTATTTTGAATACCTCTTTGGGGAGGACGGAACTTCTTGTCAATTCAGTTTCCGGAGTCGATCTTTATTGTTCATTATTTCAACTTAGGAATCCCACACAAGGTATCATTATCAACCGTCCAAACGGACCTGATGTGTATCACGGTGTTCTGAAGGATTACACAAAGATGGTGAGTGAAACTGTCACGTTATTAATACATGTATTATCGACCAAAGTACCGCAGCATGAATATTTACCAATGATCGATCTGCAGTTATGTAATGAATGAACACAAATAGGAAAAATTGTTCACGGTCGTTGATCTAAAACTCTCATCCAGACTTATTTTTTGTCATTGTAGGAGGTGAACCCAAAGAACTTCTTGCATATTCTCAGTGGCAACAAGACGGCAATGAAGGGGATTGGAAGCGGTAAAGTCATCGCCAGGTTTGTCAGAACAAAAAGGCTTACGTTTTGCGTTTAAGGAGAATAAAAACGTATTTTGTAAATGCATCAAATGAATAATTATCATGGCATTTCTTTGCAAAACATACAACACTCCACCAATTCGTATTGTCATCCGAGGCAAAATTAGGGTGTTACAACTGTTTCTGCACAAAAATTGCCTGAATTTAGAGTATTTTGCCATCATGTTTGTTTGTGTTTTAGTTCATCATACCTGGCCAATAGGCAAAGTTTATCCTAAATATTTTTAGTGAGCAAAGTTTGGGTTCACAAATTTTGCAGACCCCCCATTCCCGTTAAACAGATGTCTTCCTCTAATGGCAAAAGATAGCATCAACTTGCTCATCTGTTAGGAAATATATAGAAATGTTTAAAAAGGTACATTTTTCAGTGAGTAGCCGAAAAAGACGTCAGGCAGTTTTCTAACATTATTAGAGTCTAGAAAGTTGCATAAAGTGTTTCTGAGTGTGATATCTTTCATTCGTGTGTAATTCCTTGCAGTGGCCCAAACGATCATGTCTTCGTTTATTTCGCCGACCATGGAGCGACAAACCTCATTGCTTTCAGGGAAGAAGTGGTAAGTTTCTGAAATTCAAGTAAAATAAATCAGACTGGCTGGTATGTATAAGCGAAACAGTGAATTAGATTTAAGTGTCCATGATCCAAGGAATGGTTTTCTGTATGTTTGTAAATCGAATTCCTTGGGGGTCCCTTTGTGCATACAGCTGCGCTCTGTCTCTACTCAAACTCTATAGCAGACAACGGGAACCTTGTTTGTTGGTATACTTTTATGGCCAATGCCTTGACTTCCAGAAAATTAGGCCTTCATGTATTCCACACCACATAGGATTATATAACTGTATTTTCAATGCACACTAAGGGCTGCTCGTGACTTCCTCGATGTCCAGGCGGCATCGGCTGTTGCTAGATAGCTCAATTTCTTTTTATTCGATTTTTGTTTCTTGCAGCTTTACGCAAAAGACCTAATCAGAACACTCAAGAAGATGCACAAGGAGAATAAATATCAGAAGGTATGGCTCGATGCAGCTGTGACTTAGCACTACAAAATTTGCAGCGTTGTACCGACAAACGACCATAAAAATTACTTGACAAAGGTGATGTTGTGGTGTACATGTATTAACTGGATATCGAACTGGCTCTTAGTACTGCTCTTTTTCGAATTATGTATTGGATCGGTAGCTTGACCGATCCATTGTAAACTTTGAAAAGGAGAATTAGGCCTGCTAATGCTCCACTCGGGAGAGCTAATATCGCACTGTACATTGTGGTTCTCACAGTGTACTGTGCAGTCCTAAAATTAGAAAGACATAACAGGGCTGTAGTTTCACTGAGAAACTGATTTTCAGGGTGATAGGAGATGCTTTTCTTTCATGAAACATATCTGGAGGCAACCCAGGCTTCTACCGACAATCTCGGGAGATTTTGCTCTGCTTGCTACACCTGCACAATGATGTTGAAATGGACACTGACGTTGGCAATGAGCTAGTTCTGTATTTCAACAGCGCATAACCAGACTGAAGCGGGGCCCAGGTCATTCGAGAACAGTAGCATACGCATACGATTATCTGGCCTGTCCGCGCAGCCTGTAGAAAAATAAAAGGCGGCGAAGAGATACGCCGACTCACGCGCGCTTTGTTCCCGAAAGACCTTGCCTTTTTGATGTATCGAACTGGATCATTGTAGACGTACATCTACATGTATAATACATTAATAATATAATATACTCATGTAATCTGATAATGTAAAGATTGTTATCCCTAATTTTGTAATTCTTCATTGGGGGCAGGGATATTGTCAGTCTGATGTTTGTTTTGTTTGTTTGATTGTTTATCATTTGCCGGTTTTAGATGTGTCACCAAAGTCATAAAAAGAAGTAATAAAACAAA